TCTCTGTCTCTTTCTCTCTGCTTTCTGCCTGTCGTGACATGAGTCACTTGCTCTTCTATGCTCTACTGACATTTTTTTGCCCCACTACATATGAGCCTAAAAACAAGCAACCATTGTCTGAAACCATGAGCTAAAATAAATATTTCTACTTTTACATTATTCCACGTGCTTTGTTACAGCAATGAAGAGCCAACATATCACTGTTAATATAAGTAATAATAATTATAAAAAATTTCAGATTACTGATACATTGCAAAGTGTTTAGCAACTAGTTCTCTGGAAGAAAAATAACTTACATTTCTGTCAATTTCTGTGGTATAAGCATTCCCTACCCTGGCGAATTTCAAGCTATTAACATGATTCTGAGCTCAGAGTTGGGAAGATGCATTCGTGGATGTCTCTCAAGTGCTTCTGCAAGCTATCTCTGTGCCTACCACCATATCACTATTTAAAGTCATAAAATATCTAGTGTGCACATTTCCTCAATCATGTTATGACCTTTTTAAAGAATTGACTTGTTAATTTCAGGAAATGAACACAATCACACATTGACTCTCATAGATATGTCTCTTAGTTCTCTTTAAAGAGTTTTCTTTTATTTTATTTGTTGAAAAGCAGTTATTTGTACTAGAATGCCCTATGTTCTGGGTTTTGTTTTGTAGACTAGATTCCCATGGACCAGGTAACATGCCACCAATTCCCTGAATTTTGTGTAAATTGATAGTTTGATCTGAAGGCTTTAAGTTAAGCTTACTTAAATATGTTTATTTGCAAGAACACTTTGTAAGTGGTGTTATTGTGTTGGGTGTGTGTGTGCATGCGTGTGGGCATGTGTGTGTGTGTGTGTGTGTGTGTGTGTGTGTGTGTGTTAGCAGTTGAACTCAGGGTCTTTACACTGAGCTAGTTTCCTGGTCTGATTTATTTATTTGTTTATTTATTCAGACAAAGTCTTCTTAAGTCCTTAAGTGGCCCAGGCTGAGCTTGATTTTACAGTTTTCCTGCCTCGCCTCACAGGTGCTGCTGTGTTTTCTATGCAACTCCGATGCACATATTGCCCATGGTCTTTGGTTTTATAATTTATGAGAGAGTTCAGTACTGTCACTTTGCCTATTAATTTCCAGGTTTTCTTATCACTTTTCTCCTTAATGTGTTAAATAGTCATTGATAATTATTGTGTTAAAATAGTCCATGGTGAGATGATTTATACCACAGAAATTGCAAACACTGCAACTTAGAGGTTTTTGCCTTCTAGAAAGACAATTTCCCAGAAAGGCACTGATTTAAAGGAATTAGCATAACTTTTAGTAGTATTATTATTGTGATAATGATTTTATGGTTGCTTTTTATTTTTTTCCATAATTTTATTGAGAAACAAATCGCGATGAGAGGGTAGCAAACCAAATTGTTAGGACAGATTCAATAATTAACACATTGCATACATTCTTCCTAGTGGTTAATTGCTGTACAAGATGTGGACATGATATCCTATTTACAAACACCATTAGAACAAATCCCTCTATTCATTAAGAGAATATAACTATATATCTATTCTAACCATTTTGAATACACAGATACAAAATGGACATCCATCTGTATCCCAAT